TGAGACATTATATGTGTTCATCTTAAGTTATTGCTGTTTGATAGAAGTTCTGCTTTATAACTTTCACAAAGAGGAGAGTTTTGTGAAGAGTTATGATGCAGAAATTTTATTAGGTATGCTGTATTAAATTTCACAAAAGAGAAGTTTTGTGAAGAGCTATGCTGCAGAAATTGTGAATAAGTATGCCGTATTAACTTTCACAAATAAGTTTTTGGAAGAGTTATGCTGTAGAAATGTTATGGATAAGTATACCGCGTTAACTTTCATAAGATGGGCTTTATGAAGAGTTACGCTGTAGAAATATTGTGAGAGGATCCCATGGGTCGAAGATCACATGTGAGGTTTAGGGCGATGTATCGGCGGTCCCGCAGACTCGGAGTAACTTGGGTCGCGCCTTTGGCCGAATAATGCATGACGATGCATCCGATTGTCGAGGCAAGGATAATTCAGGCCGACTGTCGAGGCAAGGACAGGTCGGGTTGATGTTCCGGCCTGTGGTCCTTTGTGGTAAGTAGGTGCGGGTGTTCAAGTGAAGTTTTGGGCAATCGTGAACCGATACACCTATAGATTTCGAAAACCCGATCAGCGTCTGAACATGCATAGCACGCGTGCTATGATGTCTTGTTCGGGCGTTGAGGTGAGAGTTGAATACCCATAGCAAGAGTGCTAAGGGACTTGTTTGGCGTTTTGTGTGGTGTTGTACATACTTAGCAGTGAGGCTAGGATGATGTTCAACAGTTAGGCTTAGTAACTGCAGTTGCTATAACCTCGGCATGCACAATAACACTGAGGTTACTATAGTCATGCCACCATTGTTTGAGTTTCCGCTTGTGTTATTGCTCTGATATTATTGCATGGTGTAAGCATGCATTGCATTGTTTATTTTGGAGTTTTGGGTTGGGGAACTAACAATTGTATAGAGGGTCCTGGATTCACTGAGTAATACTAGATTACTCATCCCTTTTTAATTTTAATTTTTGCAGGAAACCTTAGTAAGTCGGACTAAGGAAGCAGACTAGACACTAGGATTTCAGAGTAGATTGCAGTAGGCTTTTGTAAAATTATATATACAGTTTTCAAACTGTTTGAATAGTGAGGATCCGCTTATATATAGTTTGAATAAGCCAGATTTTGTATAATGACTCGATATGAATAATAAAGAAAGGTTTTGTTTATAAAACCTTTGTGTTCTGATGATATTAACTTGGTCCGAGTTAACACAACATTTGGCTGGAGTACGGGTTGACAAACCTTAGACTCTAGTCGAGAGGGTCGAGCTAACATATCGGGCTAGCCTTATACTTGGATTCGTCTAAGCAAGGGCTGGCCTATTTATGTACCTCGACATTGTAGCACTTTCGGTTCATCTATGTTTAGATCGAATCGGGGATGTTACAAAATGGTTAGTGAACTTTAGTGGACATAAAACTAAGGAAAATCAAACTATTTTTAGGTAAAAAAGGAATCAATTTACCTTGCATATTGGAAGAAACAAAAAAAACAACGAAGATGGCGTCGATGGGAAAAGATAAACAAAATACAGATCTGGTGTGCTGGTTAGAGTCTATAATAGAAACGAGGCGCGAGTCGAGGCTGGAGTCGCCGAGATCAAACCGAGAGCCGATAGAGATGGATTCATCTGTTTACGCGACGATGGTGGAGATGAGTTCATCGGTCTTAGAGGCAAACAAGACGTGAGTCGAGGGTTGGAGCCACCGAGATCAAATAGAGAGTCGAGGGTTGGAGCCACCGAGATCAAATAGAGAGTCGGTGGATATAGATTCGTCGGTTTATACGACGGTGGAGATTAGGATTCTCGTGAATTTTTTTGAAGAGAGTGATTTTTTTGTTCTTGGAAAAACTGAATTTTTTTAACACATCGTAAAAATAAATAATTTTTTACCATGTAATGTTTGCAATTGTGTAAAAAAATCTTAAGCGAGGGTATTGGATTTAGAAGTTGGAAAGAATTGAAGTTTCTATTAAATACTAGTGTTATTTAATAATATATTTTTTATCAGTTCTTTTAAATATCTGTATTATTGGATCCAGTATTTCTATTCATTGTTTCAAAATCCTTTAAATATCATTGTATTCAATATACTAATTTTCCAATTTTATTAAATATCTGTGTTATTCAATTTAGTAATAGCTTTGATTATATTATTATTTGGAAGGAATTTAATAGAATCTCAGATAAAAATTGTAAAAAAGCAATTCCTACCATTTTATTCTGATTTTGATAGAATTAGTTTTAATTCCCATAAAATAATTTAAATTACTTAAAATCAATTATTTTTTAATGCTTGTACATTCTATCTAATTTAATCATCCAATACCACCTCCTTACTGTTTTTATATGTTGAAAAAATGTGTTAAATGCTGAAAGTGTGTTTTTGTAAATTAAAATTAAAATAGTGTATATGAGTGTAATAATATGTAAATTTTTTTTTTGGTCAACATAATATGTAAATATTTACAATCTATTCTAATATAGTAAATGTTTTTTCAGAATGAGCTTTGATATGCTGCCATGTGGCACTTCAGAAGTTGTCATGTGTCATTTTCTAAATATTTTTACTATTTATTGAGAAATAATTTAAGTTTTTCTGTTTAAAAAATAATTTTTTGTACTATTTATTGATAAATAGTTTAAGTTTTTCTGTTAAAAATATAATTTTATTTGAAAATGTAAGAAATATTATATGATTAAGCAAAAAAAATGATTCAATAATTTATGATTAAATAATATATATACATATATATTATGATATTTTTTATTGTTTTCAGAACTATTATCTATTATAGTTTAAGTTATGTGTCATTTTCTAAATCTTTTTACTATTTATTGAACAAAGTTTTTTTATAATATTTATTGATATATAGTTTAAGTTTTTCTATTAAAAATATAGTTTTACTTGAAAAAGTAAGAAATATGATGTGATTAAGAAAAAAAATATGATTTCAATAAGTTATGATTGAAAAATATATATCTATTATAATACTTTTTAGAATGAGCTTTGAAATATTGTCATATGACACTCAATAAATTGACCAATGTCATTCCTATTTGAATTTTGAAATGCTATCATGTGGCACTCAACAAATTGACATATGTCATTTCTATTTAATTATAAGTTTATTTTACAATTTGTGTAAAACTAAAAAATTTTAAAAGTAGTTTATCACTAAAAAAGTAACAAACTATTATCATAATAAAAAAAAAAAATTTATAAAGTTTTTTTTCAACCTTTATTTTGAATTTAAAAATTCTAATAAATGGTGTCTCATCTTTCATTTTTTTATATTTATATTCAGTTTTTAATAACACGATTAAAAAATAAAAATTTAAATAATAATCAAAACATATATAATATAAAAGACATGTGTTATGGAAATGTTTCTTCTTACTACATAAATATAATCTTAAGAAAAAAATGACGAACAAAAAAAATAACTTATTTTTTCATCTCTTTCCCATTAAAATACTCTATTCAAATTTAAATTTAATAGCAACCATATATAATACTACTCGTTAAAAACAGAAATCATAATACAATAATTACTGGATATTAAATTCATAGTCAATTATAATAAATACAGATAGTCTGAATAAATTAAAAGTCAATGGTAATAATTTTAAAAGCAAATTAAAAAAACTAACAAATTGAAATATCATATATACAATATCATCTTATCACATAACAAATAATAAATATAATACTAAAATAAAAAAAACTAACTAATATTTACAATAACATAAAAGTCAACAAAAAGTCATATATGTTCAAGAATTTATCTATTTTACAAAATTAACTGATTTGTATAAAATTGGTGGTCAAATATAATTAATCAAAAAATCAACAACAATGAATTATGGGTCAATAATATCGACAATAGTACCAAATTAAAAAAACTGACAATTAAAGATATAAAAAAAATACTAACACAATTAACGAAAAAACTATATTATCTTAACACATCACAAATAAAAAATAGAAAATAAAACATTAACAAAAATACTATAACTACACTTAACCAAAATAATAATAATACCTAAATATTATTATAAAAAATAATAAATTACAAATTGCAAACACCATAGAGCATTCAATTAACAAATCAACATTTTAGTTCTACCACAAATGTAATTGAAAATATATTATATGCATTATACTACATGAGTTTTTTTCTTATCCTATCAACCGACTACAAGCTCTATTTTTAAATTATGGATCCACTCTGTCAATAATAAAAAATCAACTACACAAACATACACTACAAAAGAAAAATATAGTAACTGTACTACATATTTTGATAATCTAGAAATCCTAAAAAATATTAATATTTTATTTTATGGTCATAAATTTTACCGTAAATATATTTCTGAATAGTTATATTATAGAACAACATATCATTATTATCGAGATGAAATAATATAACATTTTTAATTTCTTTTAATTAATAATTAAATTTTTAATCTTTTTACATATTATTATTAAACAAACAAATTACAATATAAATATTATTATTATATGACAATACGTAGATATGTAATATATTATTATGGAAAATCTTATTAAATCATGTGATGATTAGTACTATATAAATTTTATTAAAAAATATTTTAAGTGAATAATAATATAAACCAAATGAATAGTAATATCGAGATAATAATATTACAAAAAAACATTTCTGAATAATAATATTTTCTATAATTGATATAGTGATATAAGATAGTTTCATCATAAGTTATATTAATTATATTAATAAAAATATAATTATTATTAAATTAGTTAATATGTTATATTTTTGTTAAATTCATTCTATTATTTAACTTTGCTAAAAATATTTAAATTTTATTTTTGATTTTTCCAATAATTACATTGAAAAAATTATATTTCATAATTTTAAATTTATCTAAAATCAGCATCTTATTTTTTAGTAACTAAAAAATCTATAAACGTAAATCTTAACAAACAAAAAAAGATCTATTAACGCTACGTGTTTATTTTGATAAACTATAAAATAAGAATAAAATAGCAGCATGGCCAGCCAATCTTCATCCACCTAATATTATTTGCTGATTTTGACTTTTTGAGCTTTGACAAGGGATATCCTCAAACTTTCTGCCATTTTCACCATCATCTCTCACGCGCCACCTCCTACCTCCCACGCGCCGCTGTCCGATTCAAATCCTGTATCAATTTCCTCCTCTCGACATCTTTATTTTGCTCAATTTTCCGTTTAGTCTTCTTTTTCGATCTTAAGATTCGATCGGTGTTTGTTTTTTGTCTTTATTTCCGTAAGATCTCAGAAATCGAAAGAGGATTCTTGGGTTTTCTGGTAATTTGGAAAAAAGTATAATTTATGAATTAGAGGCTCATCGTCGCCACCATCATCATCGCCGGCATAATGGGAGGAGTTACTTCATCGATCGCTGCAAAATTCGCTTTTTTCCCACCAACACCACCGTCTTATGAGGTGGTAGCCGACGATAGCTGCGGCGGACGCCTATACATACCGGAAATCCCTCGCCGCGATGATGTCGACATCCTCAAGCTCCGTACTCGTTGCGGCAATGAGATCGTGGCGGTTTATGTCAAACACTCCAAAGCTAATGGCACGATTCTGTATTCCCATGGTAACGCCGCCGATTTGGGACAAATGTTTGAGCTTTTCGTCGAGCTTAGCAATCGCCTTCACGTTAATCTTATGGGGTGAGTTTCTCTCTCTTTCTCTGTGTCTGTAGAATTTCTTGTTTGAATCCAAATTTGTCCAAAGGAACAATCGTCAATTGTTAAACGAATTTATGCAGTTTTTTGGATTCTTGAGTAAGGGATAAGTTTGTCCATTTTAAGTTGAATTGGTTTGTTCTCTTGTTGCATTATATTAATAGAAGAATCAATCTTCGTAAAAAAACAGTACCTTAGCCTCAAAGTTTGGGTCTTTTAAATCCTGAGGTATTCAATCCTAACGATTGCAACATTTTGTCATATGACTCAACTCTCCTTTTTTTACTGATTCATTTCCATTTTGGGTCTTTAAATCCTGATGCATTGAATTAGTAACGAAAGTTAAAAGCTTTGCTTATAATTTTCAGAACGAGGATCTATTACAACATTTTGTGATAATGACGTAACTATTTCGACTCTCCTTTTGTGATTGATTCATCTCCTTTGAACTTGACTTGCTGTCTTGCGTTCTTCACTGTTGGTAAACTTGTTCTCATGTAATAATGACTATGTTCGATTGTGTTTCATAATGCGTCCATGGCTTTTTGTTTCCCAGGTATGATTACTCTGGTTATGGTCAGTCTACAGGACAGGTATCATTCCGAGTTTACTACTCTGTATTATCACAAGCCATAGACTTTCCATTGATATAGAACTTGGTGGTACTTGAAACAGGCAAGCGAGTGTAATACATATGCTGATATAGAAGCATCGTATAAATGCCTGAAAGAAAAGTACGGCATGAAAGACGATCAACTGATATTATATGGTCAATCTGTCGGTAGCGGACCAACGGTTGATCTAGCTTCGCGCACGCCTAACTTGAGAGGCGTGGTTCTACAGTGCCCTATTCTCTCTGGGATGAGGGTTTTGTATCCGGTGAAATGTACATATTGGTTTGACATTTTCAAGGTGATTTTAGTGGACTTCAAATTTTGCCTACTGGTTACATTTATAGCTGCTGCTGCTCACTTGCGCAATTCATTTGCAGAATATTGACAAGATCGGTGCAGTTACCTGTCCTGTATTAGTAATCCATGTGAGTGACACAGAAGTTTCTTTCTTTTGCCTGACTTCTCGCTTTGGCTTTTTCTTTGCATCCCTTTTTATTATGAACATCACAAGTCGCTGAACTATCTCTTGTTTGATTTTCAGGGAACTGCGGATGAAGTAGTTGATTATTCTCATGGAAAACGGCTCTGGGAACTCAGCAAAGAGAAGTATGAGCCTTTGTGGATAAGCGGGGGTGGACACTGCGACCTTGAACTCTATCCAGATTTCATTAGACATCTGAAGAAGTTTGTTGCGTCAGTTGCAAGCAAACAAGCAGAGAAAGCTGCCATTGAGTGAGATCGCTGATATGTTTGAAATGTGTTACTCTTTGAGGGGTTTCTGGAAGCATTCTAAAATGTTAGCTAGAAAGTAATAAACATGAGCGTTGGTAGGTGTAGAAGAAAAGAAAAGGTTTTATAGTATATTGTATACAGTATATGTAATCTCATGAATAGTAAATGTATGTATTTTCTGCTTTCTTGATTTAATAGGATACAAGGCGTTTTTCTTTCTTTATGTGACATTAATGGAACAGACTTTTGTGTAACCCGATATATTCTCTAAAAGTGTAGAAGGTTCTTGAAGAGGCGCCGCTGGAATTTGGAAAACAGGCGAGGAGGGACTTCAAGAGCATCCACACTTCCTTCTATCATCTCCACCACTCTGTTCATCGATGCTCCATCTGATGGACAAGTCTGAATATACCACAAAACCACCAATGTCATCTTTCTCACCATCTCCTCTCCTTTGCTGCTGATTCTGCTTTTGATAAGATTTCTACGACATTCTCAAGACCGTTCATTTCGGCGAGTCATCCATTTCTCTGATTTTTCTCTATGTTTTGGCCTCACACACATAACTTTGGAAATCACTTTACGAAAGATCACTCATCCTACTTCTTCTCCAGCTCAAGCACTCTTAACTGTGGAGTTCTCTTGAGACCAGTGACCGAAAAGATAAATGCACTTTGATGACATAGGTAGCCAAATTAATCCATTTAAACTCATTCCAATTGGCCGAGCCCAGGTCGTTACAATTCTCCCCCACTAACGACAATTCGTCTTCAAATTCTTATCCTGACAGTGTGAACCTTAACCCCCAAACCCCAAGACAGTCTCTTGGGACAGAACCAGTTTGACTTCCTAGGCTCTGATACCACTTGTAACGCCCCCGACCGCCCCTACCGGCGAGTCAACCATCCATCCGTCGGGCTCGTGGGCCCCGCCCCTATCCGACGGTCGGTGCGTTATTTTTTCCAGAGCCCAACCGGCTTATTTACTGACCCTACAATCACCACATGATATTTCCCCGTGTTTTGGCCTCACTCACACGTCTTCGGAAATCACTTGCCGAAAGGTCACCCATCCTAGTCCTTCTCCAACTCAAGCATCCTTAATTGTGGAGTTCTCTAGGGACCAATGACCGAAAAGATAAGTGCACTTTGATGACATAGGTAGCCAAATTAATCCATTTAAACTTATTCAAATGGGCTGGGCCCGAGTCGTTACAATTCCCCCACTAACGGGAATTCGTCCCTAGATCCCGACAGTGTGAGCCTTAACCCCCAAACCCAAAGACAGTCTCTTGGAACAGAACAAGTTTGACTTCCTAGGCTTTGATACCACTTGTAACGCCCCCGACCTCCCCTACCGGCGAGTCACTCATCCCTCCGTCGGGCTCGTGGGCCCCACCTCTGTCCGACGGCCGGTGCGTTATTTTTCCCAGAGCCCAACCGACTTATTTACTAACCATGCAATCACCACATGATCTTTTCCCGTGTTTTGGCCTCACTCACACGGCTTCGGGAATCACTTTCCAAAAGGTCACCCATCCTAGTCCTACTTCAGCTCAAGCACCCTTAACTGTGGAGTTCTCTCGGGACCAGTGACTGAAAAGATAATTGCACTTTGATGATATAGGTAGCCAAATTAATCCATTTAAACTTATTCAAATGGGCCGGATTCGGGTCGTTACACATGGAGCTTGTGCTAGAACCTATAGAAATTTGTAGAAGTGATGATTCTCATTATACATTGAGGTAACTTATATACAAGGTAATTACATAGCTAGGGTATTCGACAACATTAAGAGAGAATATACAGTTAACATAAGTGTAACCATGATATAAGCAATCAGTGATATGATCGATTCCTAATACGTCCCCTCAAGATGTAGGTGGGGGAACAACTCCTATCTTGCTTGAGAAGTTATGGAAGGCAACACGTGAAAACAGTTTTATGAGGACATCAGCTAACTGATCTCGTGTAGAAACATGAACATCCCGAAGCACACCATATTGAACTTGATTGCGGATGAAATGATAGTCAAGGGCAATATGTTTCATCTTTAAGTGAAAAACAGGATTGGCACATAGATAAGTGGCATCTACATTGTCACAATATATAACTGGAGGAGAAGGTACTCGTATGCCAAGTTCAGTAAGCAAAGAACATATCCATTGTACTTCAGAGGCAGTGTTGGCAACTGACTGATATTTAGCTTCCTTATAAGACCTTGCAATCCCTTTTTGTTTCTTCAATGACCAGGAAAGAGGATGTATGCCAATATATATGATGTACCCATTGGTGGAGACATAATCATCGCAATCGCCTGTCCAATCAGTATCCGAGTATGCATGTAGGGTCGAAGAATTGCTTTTTTTGTAGAAAAATTCCCTGTTCTGCTGTTCCCACTAAGTAGAGAAGTAAGCATTTTACTGCTTACCAATGATCAGTTGTAGGAGCATGCATATATTAAGAGAGACGACTAACCACATAAGATAAGTCTGGTCTGGTGAAAGAAAGGTATTGCAGACTTCCAATAATGATGCGATACTCAGCTGGATCGGACAACCGTGTGCCAGAGTGAAGATATAATCTAGGTGAAGCAGCCATTGGAGTAGTTACCGGTTTGGCAGACAGCATGTTTGTGCGAGCAAGGAGATCACGAAAATATTTTCGCTGACTGAGATGAAGCCCTCTGTGATCTCGTTTGGCTTCAACACCGAGAAAATAGTGTAAGTCTTCGTGTTCCTTCACCGAGAACCTTGCCGCCAATGCATCGAAAGTGTGTCTAAGGAGGATGTTTTCATTGCCGGTTACTAAAAAATATCATCCACATCGATGAGCATATACACAATGGACTTCTCTTTCCTCAGAATGAATAAGGAGGTGTCAGAGACAGAGTTAATGAAGCCAACAGAGAGCAGGAAATTTCTGAGTTCAACATACCATGCTCTCGGTGCTTGCTTGAGTCCATAAATGGCTTTCTGGAGGCGGCAGACATAGTTCAGTTTGTCTTGATCAGCGAAGCCTGGTGGTCCGGACATATAAACCTCATCTGTTAATGTGCCTTGTAAGAAGACATTGTTAACATCTAGTTGTCGAATAGGCCAGGAATGATCCACTGCAACCCCAAGAACAATTCAGATTGTTGTTGTCTTGATGACTGGGCTGAAGGTTTCTGCGTAGTCAAGCCCTGGTCGTTGGTTGTAATCTTTCGCAACAAGGCGTGCCTTGTACTTGCTGAGTGTGCCGTCAGAGTTGTATTTCTTCATAAACACCCAACGACAGCCTACAATTGTTATTTGTGAGGATGGAGGTGGGACAAGATCCCAACTTCGAAGTCCCAATTGTGCGTTGTATTCAGTCCCCATAGCGTTTTGCCATCGTTTGTCCTTCATAGCTTAAATTGCTGTTCTTGGTTCGTCGTCGGCAATTGAGGTGGTGTTGACAGTGACTCACTGAGACCATATCTCACATTGGGTTTAGCAATCCCTTGTTTTGCTTTTGTGGACATATTATGTCGATTTAGAGGATTTAATCGGGGAATAAGGATTGGTTTAGAGTTTCGCCGAGATGTTGTAAAGCGTTGAGGGCGTCGAGTTCAGGGTTGTGGCTGAGTTTGATTTTGCAGAGGGTTTATTGTAGTAGACGATGTGGGTGGTTATTGTGTTTGGGCTTGTGATTCATTGTTTGATGTATTGGTATTGGGCCGTGTGTGGGTTCTTGTTGTAAATATATTTTGTGAGGGATTTGAGATTCTAGATGTTATGAGTGGTGGGTGTATTTGGGCTGGACGTTGCTGAGCTGTGGGTTGCAGCTCATTCTCAGAAGGAGCAGTTAGCTTAGTGGAAAGTGTTGGTTGAATTTGGGCTGGATGTTGCTGGGCTGTAGGTTGCAGCCCATTTTCAGAAGGAGCAGTGGGCTCAGTGGAAGAAGAAATAGAAAATGATGAGGATTGAGTTGGAGAAGACGATACCTGAGCATTTGAAGAGTTCGTCGGCGGATGAGGCGACGGTGGGTCAGGGTGAGGATCAGAGCACGAGACCGGTGAAGACAGAATTGGCGGCGGCATTAATAGAGTTGTATGTGGTGGCCAATTCAGTGTAAATCAACGAAGTCTCCGATGATCAATGCAAGGGACCATCTGCGAAAGGAAAGCTGGTTTCATCAAATTGTAAATGGCGTGATGTATAGATCCTCTGCGTCAGGATGTAAAGGCAGTAATATGCGCTCTGCGAGGTGGAGTGTCCCAAGAACACACATCGTAAAGACCAATCTTCAAGCTTGTGACGATTGTACGGTCACAACCAAGGATAGCACATACATCCAAAAATCCGAAGCTTCTGGTAATTGGGGTTGACTCCAAAAAGTTTCTGGAATGGAGATTGTAGATCAAAGACTGGTGTGGGCAATCAGTTGATGAGGTAAGTTGCAGCAGCAAATGCATATGGCCAGTATGTCTTTGGAATCGAAGCAGTTGACAGAAGAGTGAGTCCTATTTCTACAATATGACGGTGTTTCCTTTCAGAGAGACTGATGTGTTCAGGTGTGTGAGGAGGCGATGTGAGATGTGAGATTCCAGTTGTGGCGAAGTACTCTTTCAGGGCAATGAACTTGCCTCCATTATCCGAATAGAAGGTAGTAATTTTTGTTTGAAAGTGGTTTTCGACTAAGTTTTTGAAAGAAATGAAAGTGGTTTTTACTTGGGATTTTTGTTTGAAGGGTAAAGCCAAGTATATCTGGTATAATAGTCCACAAAAATGACATAGTATTTGAAATTGTCTAGAGAAAGAACTGGAGAGCTCTAAACATCAGAGTACAAGTATTGTAGTGGGCGAGAGGAGGTTATTGTAGATTGGGAATAGGGAAGTTTATGACTTTTATTGATGGAGCAATCACAACAAAATAATAGTTTTTGTGTTTGGTTTGAAACAGGAAGAGAATATTTCGAAATTGCAACTTTTAAGATAGAGGATGACGGATGCCCAAGCCTTGAGTGCCACGAAGAAAATGTAGCCTTTGAACCAGACGATGTAAGCAATGCGGTTGGCTGAGACATCATCTGAGGCCACTCATACAACTCGTTATTAGTTTTACCTTGGAGTAACCAGATTCCTGTACTGAGATCCTTCACCTGAAAATGTGTGGGAAAGAATTCCACAGAAACACAGTTAGTGTTACATAAGCGATATACATAGACAAGATTCTTTTGTATATCTGGGACATATAGAAATTTGTGTAATGGTAAAGGTCTTGATGTTGTA